CTTATAATAAGACTGTAGCTATTTTATTGACAATAAATTAAGCAGCCGTAGCATTTGGGCTCTGCCCGCAATATCGCGGATTCGTTTCCCGCCTTGGCACAAAAACGTTTTCGGTAAGGTTGAAAAAGGAGAGCCAATCTCTTAAATGGTATTCTCCATGGTGCTCTGTAATAAAAACTTAATCGTTAACGCATTTTTTTTTATGATTTCGAAATATTATTTAAGCAAAGAAAACCAGGGGATTCTATATATATGAGTACTTACAAGAGGCTTGCGTCGTTTCAAAATTTCAAAATATATATATTGTATATAAAAACAGTAAATACGCAAAATTATATATATAAAACCTAACCTTGGTTAGCCAAATGGGTATATGAAGACTAAAAAAAGCCTCGATTTGTGATCTCAACATTTGTAGCCCTTTTGCAACTGAAGGCCTGGGCCAAATAACTTTCCTAATCCCTTTCCTGTGATTTGAATATGTTACTCAATAAAAGGTTTTGAGGGGAATAGATAGTCTAACTTAGCGAATATCCGAGTTAAGTATAAAGAGTTCTCTATATGCATACTTTCGAAATGTATAAAGAGTTCAAGGAGAGTGGAAAATTTGTCTGACTTATCCAGGATCCGAGTCAACGGAATTCTAATGAATATCCAATGTCTGGTATGCATGGGTGTGTTAAAAAAACAATAAACAGCTTAGCGTCAATTAAAATTTATTTTATACTAAATAATGCTTTTAATATGTTTGTGGCTATGAAAATAGCCGTTTTTCTTTGTTCTTCTTTCGGAGGCTTTTAATTGTTACACATATTGTATGAATAAGATGATCGATAAATCGATACTCCTTTCTTGGCGAAATCATTTAGTAACTTTCTCACTAAATATTCTTTTTTTCACAGGGGGCTTAAGACGAATATTCTCTGGGTTAGTTTTTTGATAATGAGATTTGAGAATACTTTTTAATCGGATTGTCGGGCAAGGAATCGATTGATAAATAGTTTTGAGTTTGTTAAACTCCATATGGATCGATTCTCCGCCTTGTTCTCCATAAAAGCCGAATCCCGCTCCCCATTTTTTCAAAAACGGAACAGCATGATGTTCTAACATATGCAACTTAGGTGTAACTGAAGCCTCGGGCCAATTAGCACGATAAAATTGCATTAAACTTTTTATATTTTTTTCTAAAAAAATTTAAAAGAACAATTATAAAAAAACCAATAAGTATACTTAAACACTTATTTCAAAATATTTTATTTAATGAAACTTACTTAAAAGAATTAAATCTTCTAGTGTAACTATACTTTTTAAAGAAAATATTTTGTAGCACTGGGCAAATTTATCAAATAGTTGTTTATATTTATTGCTAATATCAACTGCTAACAGGTGCACGTTTGTTCCTGAATATCCTTCTTCATGAACAAGCTTCGGTATACAGTTACATAGCTGAAGTATTGAAGATTTCTAAATAGCAAACTTATTTTTAATCTTGTTTATAAACAGTTAAACATTTATTATAAGTTAATTATAAAAATGCTAAGCTACTTTGCTAAGGAGCCGTCCATAAATGATGTCAGAGATTTTTCCCGGTTTGTCGAACCCTCTTCCTTTCCCTTTTAGTCATAAAAATGAGGCTTTTTAGTCGTGGTGAAGGTAACTTACCTATGAGAAGAAAAATAATGATATAAAGTCCTTAAAACTTAACTGAGGGAATCATGAGAGAATGGGTGGAGCAGGATATAAGGAGGAGGTCACAAACCTCTGGCGTTAATCTCAAAATCTCTCTCGTGATGATATCAGTATAAAAATACTCAGTCCTTTTCTGTAAAAGTTAATAGGTTAACTTCAAAAGAGCATCTTGCTAAAAGCATTTGCCTTTTTTGAAAACATTAAATATCATAATTAGAGATTTATTTTAATTTCATATAATTTTTTTTAAATTAAATATTTAACTTATTGTGAATAAATTTTATTACTTCATTAGCTCTACAAATATGGGCCCATTAATTAAGTCAACCAAATTTTTACCTCTAACTTGTTTCAAATTACGTTAAATTATGATTCCCCCCCGTCCTAAATAAAAAATCTACACTACAAACGCAGCCTAATTTTCCGTTTTTTAAGCTATGCAACTAAGAAAAATAATAACTATGTTGTCGTTAACTTTACTTGACCTCCCTACCTCCCCTGAGTCAAAAATTGTCAAAAAAGTTCAGAATACCCCCCCCCCCCCCATTTTGTTGACATAATTACCGGACAGTCCTTATAGAAAATAATTTATGAAAGAGATAGTAGTTCATGAAAATTACTTTTAGCATTTTATGCACATGGTTTCCCACAAAAAATTTTCCGTGACACGCTTGACGTTGTACTTTCAGCTTTTGCAGTATAGTCTCGATCATTTTTGTGCATGGACTCTGGTCCAACCCTAATGATTGCTTTCTAAGCAGAGTATTATATAGTCGTCTAAAAAAATAAAAAAAGTAGGGATAAAATAAACCAAAAAAACTGCATAAATTATAATATTGTATATTCAGTAATAACAAGACTATTCTGTGTAGGAAAGGATTGACATTTAAATCACCAACTTAGTGAATGTTGATCTGCAAACTGTACACCTAAACTCACACACAAAATGTGCGAGTTTAGGTGTACAGTTTAGATGTACAGCAAGATTCCTTGATCAAAAACTTGCAAACAAGTATCTTAAATACATTCACACTTGTTGATGTAAAAGCATTCTAAAATTAGTTTCCAGCATATAGATGTTTGCAAAACTTTTTTGTTTTAACCAGTTTACACCTTTAAAACTTTATTCTATTTACAAACACAAATACCCTTTTACATAAACCTCTAAACATAATAATACCAAATCAATAAATCATAATAATAAAAAATCAATATTGTTAAACCTTTTTTGCTTTTTCACTATTAAGCAACTCAATTTCTGTGAAGTATAGAGATTGAATATTTTCAAAACTATCAGAATTGTTAACAGCTGCTAACATTTTCAGCTTGAAGATTTAACAGCTGTTTTTGTTTTGATACAAAACTGTATATTCTTCTGAAAAATTAATGTTGCTTTTTAATGTTTCTGCAGCAATTAAAATATCCAGCTGATGCACTTCTTCTTCAAACAAATTAAAAAAATTCAAATAAATACCAAGAGCCATGTGGAGACTAGGTAAAGATACCTAAAAATATATATCGAAAGTACATGACTAAAAACCTACTATTACAAAGCCATACTGCTAAGTTAATGTAACAAATAAAAACAACATTACTTGATCAAGGGGTATTTTCAAAATTGGTTCTTCAATGACATTATTAAAATTCTTAACATTTTTCTTTAAGCCTCCACTTTCTATAAATTTTTTATGATCAGAAAATAGATCTTCCAAGGTACGATCTTTTATTTCAGGATTTTCATGTTTACCACATTTCATTTCACTTGCTGTCGCATAACAGAAAAGACAACGATGCCTCCCTTAAAATAAAATTGATAAGAATTTCTTATTAAGAAATAATTACAAACTAAATAATAATGATTAATTACAAAAGTTATATATATATATATATATATATATATATATATATATATATATATATATATATATATATATATATATATATATATATATATATATATATATATATATATATATATACAAATAGTATTGCGTACTAAGGTAAGCAATCTGACATCATACTGAAATAGCCTGCTGCTGGGGGCTTCAGTAAATACATCGACTGACAAATAGCCTGACTTGCAGTGGAGTGCTGCTACATCGACTGAGGGTTTGGGATGGGGCAGCAATTGTTTCATTCATCATTCTTCGTTTTTTTTCTTCTTTTTCTAAAAAAGCTGTATGGATTAAGGTAAGCAAAAAAAGTTAGCAAATGCTTATAAAAATACCCTTTAGTAAGTGTGTATATATATATATATATATATATATATATATATATATATATATATATATATATATATATATATATATATATATATATATATGCAATTCAGGGTTGCAAAGTCGGAGTTCGGAGTCCTTGTTTTTATCTGGAGTCCCGCCAGTCATTAAAATTGTTGGTACTTAGACTACAGGATTTTTTAAATTTTTTATCAGTATATAAATGATTAACAAATCGTTATTAACTTCTATAAATTTAAGAATTTGAAATTGTTTAGCCTTCAGTTATATAACTTAAAATCAGTGAATAATACAAAAAACAGATTATTAATTATTTATAAAGATATAAAATCACCTGTAGCTCCTGAAATTCTGTAGAGTGCACATAAAAACTCATAGTCTCCGAAAACAAATACTCTAATACTGTTATCCCTGTAGCATAAAAATGTTTAATATAAATGCTGTATAAACAATATATGTAATATTAATATTTATAATAAAGCATAACAGTTATTAAAACAAATTATCATAAAAGCTCAGGCCTTGTTTTGAGTATTAGGCGTAGAGTTTCCCCCTCCCCTCTTTTCTCAACCTCTTTTTTAAGGTTGAGCGATTTTTTTTTTTATTAATATTATTAGAATAATTAAAAAAAAAAATTTGCTTAAATGAAATTGCTTACTGCTTAAAAAGCTTTTGTGATAACTTATTTTAATAACTGTTATGCTTTATTATAAATTTTACAAATATTGTTTATATAACATTTATATTAAACATTACTACTTTACAATAATTTGTTTATCTATAAATAATAAATAATTATTTAAAATAATTATTTTTTTTGTAACTTACTTATAGTTCATTTTTTGAAGATCTTCTATTTGCTTTTCAAACCTCGACATGGCTACTTTTATATTGATTCTGAAATCCTTCGCCTCGAAGATGCAAAAAACTATAGTGTTGTCTTTGCTATTTGGGTTCAAGGTATTTGCAACCTGATAAGTCATTTTAAAACTGCCCCCACCATAATCACATCCGATTTTAATTTGTATTTCTTTATCAGGAAAAAAATTATGGCAATGAAGTCCTTTACAACTGCATAAAAATAACACATTACTAAATAAGTGACTAGTATATTATAAAATAATTATATAATAAAATAATAAATTTGCAACTGTTTTAGTTTTAAATAATATACACGAAAGATGACACAAAATTTAAAAAAATAATTTAAAAACAAAATTGTAAATTATTGGTTGTTAAAATCACCTTTCTAATTGATCAAGATGTCTTAATATATGCATTGGTAAATTTTCAATATAGCCCCAAGATACGTATTTTATTTTAAATATTCCTTTCTCTTCTTTTTCAAAAGTAAATGGTGCATTTTCTATAATTAAGTAATCACCAGATAATTTTTCAGCAACTAATCTATGTGAAGAATATGATGCTGTATTTATATTAAAGCTCTTCAGCCACCTTCAAACACAGTAAAAAAAAAAACTATATTCCATGCTATAAAAAATTAATATAGAATAAAATTCATATAAAAATATAACTACTTTGATATTGTTTTAAGCTTTTCCCAAGGTATGCACAAATCTGCTTTCATTGCCTCCATGTTATTTGCAGTAATTACTACTGCTTCAGTATATAAATTATCCAATATCAAACCCTTTGTCTCTGTTTGAAATGATTTTAGCAGCTTTGATGATTGGCAGCATATTGCATCATTTGATGTACCAGACATAACCTCCATGTGTTTTTTAATTGAAGAATTTTTGACTATTATAGTTGTTTTTGATGCTTCGTTACTGCTTACATGAGCCTTTGGAGTGAGCGAAAACACAACTGGCTAAAAAAAACATTTATGAAAATTAAAAATTGCTTAACTTATAACTATTATAAATTTAGCTACAATTGAAAAAAAAATTAATTACTCAAGATCCTCCACTTTTGAACTCAACTACTTTTCCACCATCTTTAGCCATCTTTTGCTTAAGAATATGTAGTGCAGCATCTTCAATTATTCTAGGAATCATTACCTGCAGTTAGATTGAAAATATCAGAAATGTTGCTGTTAAATAAATACGATGATGATGATGTCAATAATGATAGCAATGATGCTACTGTAAAAGTTGTTTTCTGTCTGTTGGCATCAATAGCATTCATCAGAATGAGGTTTCCAGTTCATATTTAAAAGAAGTGTTGTCGATGCCATTCTTTTGATGACATTGTTTATTGTAGCATAACATTTGTGACAAATGTTAGATCTCTATCTCATTTGATAGCAAGACATGAAACACCTTTTCAATTTTATTTCTCTGGTTTGTTCCAATAGGGTACTTTTTTTTTCCCAACTAAATAATCACAAACCCTGCAAAGAAGAATCAAATTCTTATTGTGAGTCTCCATCTATAAATAAAAAACTTTCAAAATAGATGGTTTAAACCACCATCTTTAACACAATTTGTTAAACGCATGTTTTACATGCGTAGAAAATAAATTATTAATAAACTTTAAAAGAATGCTAAAATGTGTTTTTTTATTAGAAAAAAAATTGAGTGCTAAGGTTGCTTATAAGTAATGGAAAGATAAAAAATTCTTCTATATAAAATTATAAAAAATTTTAAGTTTTAACGCTCAAAAAAAAAAAAAAAAGACTTTTAAATTTATAAACAAATCAAATATATATATATATTTTTTAATAAGTCTGCACCAATCAAAAAAAATATCTTACTTACTTTCTAATAAAAATTAAGTTACCGAAACACTATTAAGAATTCGATTAACTGGTTGTCTTTGTAGACAATCCTAAAAAACGCCACGAGTTAAGAAAAATTAGTATTTATCTAAAAACTAACTTTGTAGCGAAGGTCCGTAGCCATTTTAAAACTCTAAAAATTTTTATAACCAACTGCGCTTGCGTACAATAACTTTTTAGGTGAGTTTAAACGACCGTGATATATATATATATATATATATATATATATATATATATATATATATATATATATATATATATATATATATATATATATATATATATATATGTATATATATATATATATATATATATATATATATATATATATATATATATATATATATATATATATATATATATATATATATATATATATATATATATATATATATATATATATATATATATATATATATATATATATATAAGATTAAAAAGTTCTAGCTTTATAAAACATGTCTGGCAAAGAAGGAGTGCCTTTTTTAAAAGTAGATAAATAATTTTCTTCGTTGAATTGATCGAATTTTAATGACATGCAGCGAGTGGAATTTTTAAATTAAATAATACCGCGTAAATATTATATTGCGTTTGATTTAACCGCCCTTAAATAAGTAAAAGCGAAGTTTAAGTTTTTTATATCAAGTTGAAAAATAATACGTTTATCTTAATATTTAATATATTAAAGACATTATTATACTATATTACTATAACAAACTTGTTTTCTTGCCGTTTTTATTATTGATAAAAATAGTTACATGAACGCCATATAAATACCTTTTTGGCGCTAAAAGTGGAGCTTATGCGCAAAATTGACGCTTAGCATATTATATTTTTTTAAGTAAAAAAATTTACATAACTTTAATAAACCGGTAATGCAATTCAATGTAAACTAACAAGGTTTTCGTGAGAAAAAAACTCAATAAAACTTCAAGTCTATCTAAAAAAATGCGCAGTATTTAATTTTAACTATTTCATTTAAAATACAACTATTTCATTTAAAATACAAAATCATCTACGATGATAAAAATTCTGAATATTAAAAAAAAAACTACAACTTCACTAGCCTAAAATAAAATAAACTGGGAAAACATAACATATATTTTATTTGGATAATTGGGTTCCGTAAAACTCAGATACGCCAGAAGCTAGTCTAAAAAAACCCATCTGAAGTACTTTTTTACTCTCGGCATTTAAAGAACTATCTTTTTCCTGTGTTCCTTTTAACAAAACAAATATGAATAAATGTTGGTGAAAATTATTTGTTTAAATTTTATTTCAAAAATTTGATCGGCTAACGTCCGACCAAAATAACTTTTGGTCGGACATTTTGTCCGGGACATTATAAAAAAAAATGAAATTAAGCCCTGGGTATTTATCCGGAGAAACTAAAAATTACTAGGGTCATACCTATTTTCAAGTCAGGAGACATTTTAAATCCTGAAAATTACAGACCAATTTCAATTCTTCCTTGCTTCTCCAGAATCTTAGAGCGAATTATGTATAACCAAATTTTGACTTTTCTAAATATAAATAATATTCTATATAACAAACAATTTGGATTTCAACCAGGGCATTCAACTGACCATGCCATTATTAATATTGTTCACGATATATTTAAAGTATTTGATAAAAGTAAGTTTACCCTAGGAGTTTTTAAAGATCTTAGCAAAGCCTTTGATACAGTAGACCATAGCATTCCTATAAAAAAACTCAAAAATTATGGTAATAAAAGAACATATTTAGAATTGCTAAAAAGTTATCTAATCAATAGAATACATAGCACACGAAGAAGGAAAACTGAATACTTGACTATTACTTGCGGAGTTCCTCAAAGCTCAATTCTGGGTCAACTTTTATTTCTTATTTATGTAAACGATTTCCATAAGTTTTTAAACATTTTAAACTCAGTTTTATTTGTAGATGATACGAATTTATTTTATTCTAATGGAAAAGTCAACCTTTTATTTAAAATAGTAAACAACGAATTTTTAAATCAAGCGGAATGGTTTAAGGCAAACAAATTATCCTCAAATTTAAATAAAACTATCTATACTTCTTTTCATAGACTTCACGATAAAGAAAATATTTCAAAACTTCCTGATCTTTACATTGGCAACTCTAAAATAATTAAAGAATCATCACTAAAGTTTTTAAGAGTGATACTTCACGAAAACCTGACATGAAGAGAACACATAAGAACAATTGAAAATAAAATTTCAAAAAATATTGGCATACTATACAAAGCTAAGCAAATCTTAAACCAAAACTACTTAAAAATCTTATATTTCTCCCTCATACATTGTAATATAAACTATGTAATTATTGCATGGTGCAGCTCTAATGTAAGTAAAGTTAAAAAACTGCTTAGTAGACAAAAACATGCTGTCAGGATTATTTCAAATGCAGGTCGATTCGCACATTCTAAAGAAATATTTAAAAATCATCACATACTCAAAATGTTCTTCAGTTAAGCCTTTATCAAATTCTTATATTTATGTACAAACTTCATAATAAAATAACGCCTATGATTTTTAATACACTTTTCTATAAAATTAATCAAAATTATAAAAGATTTTGAAAGTTACTTGTTGATGAAAGCTCCTCGGGGTGTAGTGATAAGGCAAATATTGTCTTCTTTTAGCCCCGGTCATGTAGATTTTATTTATATAACACGGCATTGTATTCTTTTTTTTAATGACAAATAAATAATATATAAATAAAATAAATAAATAAATTTAATATAAACTTTAAGATTGGTAGCGTATTTAAATCCATTGCCTGTTTGAAGCCACTTTTCGGAAATACTTCAGGTAACACTGGGATGTATATGGGCAGTGTTTGTGGTGGAGCTTCGGAAAAGAATTTTTTTTTTAAGTAAGTTATAAAGAGTAGTTGTATTATGGTTGGGGAAAATATAGTCACGCGGGTATACCCGCATGTTAACTATATGACCGCAGTAGTGTAGACACTGGCTCCCAACCGCATAAGTGCTAATAGAGGCTTCTAAATAATCATTGATTTCTTTTTTAGATGAGCAGAGGTAGGTTAGTAGCCAAAATTTAAATTTACCTGGAGGAGGCGAGGGGGGGGGGTTAGCAGGCCTAATTTCTACGCTATGGGCAATTCATGCATCTAGCAGCATGTATATAGCAGCATGCATAATTAGCATCTAGTCTCTATGCTGCTGGATACAAATCTTGAATAAATCACTGTTTGTTAGAGCGTGCTTTCTATCCATTGTTTTTTCTTTGTATTTAGCTTTTCAATCAAATATTTTGTTAGGGTAATATGATGCAATAACATTTTTGGTATCCGTAAGGACATCAACTGATAAAACAGTTTTTAAAAAATTGTAAGTCATTTAAACTACCCGATAAAATTTATATGATTAAAGGAGTGTTTATCATATATAATATTTTATTGCGTTTTATCATATATAATCTATTTGAAAAAAGATGGGAAGGAAAGCTGATCAATCTTCTACTATAGGTTGTGGGCACCCTAATAACCTCCTTTTTGGTTACGGTGGTGTCCAACCCAAACAAGGAAGATTAGAAAAACAAAATCTTATTTAACTAAAATAGTTCTTTAGAATAAACTTCTCATTTGCTTTCAAACGTTAGTTTGACTTCACAAGTTGTTTGTCGTTTTCAGTTCTTCCGGTATCTTGCGAGTGATTTTTCACTACCTTCCAGACTAGCTAGAGCTCTGAAACTTCCAGCATTTGTGTAATTTTGATAAACGTACATGTTTAAATTGTTTTCAGAACCAACTGGAGAACTCCACTTTTTTAAATCTTTTTTTTTACTTTCATATATATTTTTGATCTTTCAGACTTTACTTTAATTTTACTTTATCTTGACATCATTTGTGCAGTCCCAATGAACATGCATGTTAAATTTGTTTGCTGGGCAAGGGGGGTTGTACCCTTATTTTTTTTTCTCTAATATTTTGTTTTTCTTTAATGTTGAAATTTATAACTTTTTAGAAAGATAGATTTGTTGCAAAAAAGCTTTGAAAAGACATTTGTTTTGATCTATTTGTTTTAGTATTAATTTTTTTGTGAAAATTAAAAAAAAAAACTTACCGTAAAGGAGCCGGGCATATTTGTAGCTATGCTTCTGCTTTTCGCATCTTTTATTCAGCGTGGTCGTTGTCAGGGTGGTCCAAAAGAGGTCTCTTTGAGAAAGAGGGTGTTATATGTGTTATTTGCCAACTAGGCATTTCGCGAGGTTAGAATTATTTTGCTCTCCATGTTTTTCCGAACCAAGAAAATCTAGTTCAAAGTTTCAATTGGACCTGCAGGCCAAATAACATAAAAAACTCAAACAAAACCGATTTGTATTAGTTTTCTAAACAGGCTGCCACAGTTTTAAAGAAATTTTATTAAAATATTTAAAGTGCAGGTGTCTGAATTACTACACCCTGATTTGGACAATGTAATCACACTTATTTTATAAAATACAGTGTTATTTTGTTCTCCATTTTCTGTTAAAAAATATAATACAAACTAGTATTTTTTATACATATTGTGGCAAGATGATTGTATATTTTAGCTATTAAAGTACTGCAAGGTACATATCTGTTTTATTAGAAAAAAATCTTATTTTACACTCGTGAACAAATAATATAAATGCGCTATTTTGTCTAAAATCCAATTCAACAGAGAAGATAAGTAATATATTATTTAAAGTATGTACCAAGATCTTCACAACAAAATAAAACTTTAGTTATAAGTTCTAAAGGCATAACATCTAAAATACATTGCATAATAAAAAGATAATCTTAAAGAATAATTAATAAAACCAGCACCTCTGGTAAGTTCATTCAAAACATAGCATTTCAGTAAAAAACCCATTTAACAATGTAACATATAAAAATATATATTTAGACAATACAATAAATTATTTTAAAACATTCTTATAAATATGCAATATTTACAGCAGGCATATACTTGAACAGATTTTGAAGGATATTGGGCCGATTGCAGAGGTACTAATGGTGTCTGTCTTGAATTAGGGTGTTCAAATTTCAAATGATAAAGCCAATGATTTGCTTTATCATTTAAAATTTAAACACTCATATTCAAGGCAGAAAACATTAGTACCTCTGCCATGACTATTTGTTTCATTTATATACATTATTAGGTAAAATTTACAAAAACCAGTTCAGTTTACAAAAATATTAGCTTAACTTAACGAAATTATGTGATTTCAGTTGCATTAGGCTTGCCCAAATAACATGGTTATTATAATAAAAATATTTGGTGCATAATTCATCAAATGTTTTTACTAAAGTAACCGAATACTTTTGTGAATTTCACAAGAAGTTTCTTGCGGTGTTTCATTTAATGACAGAAGTTAATTTTAACACCTATATAGGTAACAAAATCTATATAAAATACGTATTAAAACTTTATTTATAAAATTAGTTTAACGTAAAAGGTAGATATTATAATCTAATATAATCCTATGATTATTGTAGACATATGGATATCGCTATATTTTTGAAATTTTCTCCCGTAAAACTTTATTGATAACATTTTTTTGAAGATTAAGAATGTGTAATTATATACTGTGTGCTGAAAAAGTCAAACATCGCTTAATACAAAACTATTTGACGTATTATAGAAACTAAATCTAAAAGAAATCTAAATCTTTAGAAATAAGTTTCGATTTAAAAAAACATTTGATTGGTAATAATTAATCACACATTTTTATTCGCACATTTTTTTAGTAGTTATGGCCTGTAGTCTTTTAAAACAAACTTTTGAAATATATATCTAAAATAAAAAAGTTAGATTTGAAAACAATATTTATATATCATTGCCTGAATATTTTTATAATGTCCTTATTGGGCATATTGGGGAAACTTTTTGTTTTTTTGAATATTGGTAACACTTTTAGTAAAGTTTGCATGAAAACAAAAATTGAAAGTGATTTTAAAGGCGAATTTACAATACCAGCCTTATTTCCCTTAAGATGTTCTTCAACAGAGCATATAGATATGAGAACTGTTGCATGGATTGAAGCTTTGAAATATACTGTTGAAGAAGAGAATAAAAAGCAAAACAAGAGATTATTTGATTATGTCATTTACGATACTTATGATTCCACAAACTTTGACAAGACCTCGTTTGCTATTCTAGACACATTAAGGTTTAGCTCTAGCAATAAAAATAAAAGCTGTGCATGCAACGACTTCGTTCAACAAAACAAAATATTAGGGTTTATTGGTCCATCAGAATCAGCAAATTGTTTATACGCACTTGCACTAACACTACCTTATACTAACTTTCCGATCATCAGCTATTCCGCAACAAGCATGGATTTAGATAACAGAGTTTTATATCCAAATTTTTTTCGTACGGTTCCCCCTGATAACTATCAAGTATTATTTATCAAAGACATTTTAAAAAACTTTCATTGGACATTTGTTGCCGTGATAGCGATTGATACCTCGTACGGCAGAGCAGGAATTGAACAACTTATTAAAGTGATTGAAAATGATACGTCCGAAGAAAAAGTTTGCTTAGCTTTTACGGCATTACTACCGCAAGTTTATGATCAAAGTAAATATTCAAATGTAGTAGAAAAGTTAATTAAAGAAAGCGCAACCAAAGTTATTGTCGTTATTGGAACATTTAATCTCGTACAAAATTTATTAATCGAATCGGATAGTAAAAATTTATCAAAGCGAATATATCTTTTAAGTGAAGCTACTGGTAAAAATAATTGGTTTTTTAAGTACAGCAACATATTTCAAAATATTTTTCTATTTATTGTTCAGACTGAGGGGGAAGATAATTCATTTAAAAAATACTTTTTTGGTTTAACTTATCAAAATGCAAGTCCATGGTTAAAAGCAGTTTTTGAAAAACATGGAGCAACTGAGAGTTCAAATACAACAAATGACATATCACAAGTTTTTGATCTTAGCCTGGTTTCATTTGTTCAAAATTCAGTTAAAGTTTTAATTGAAGCATTTTATTTATATCAAAAGTTGTATTTCCCTAATCAGATTAAAGAAATTTACAATAGAACCTCGTTTATCGAACAAATCAAAAATGTCAGTTTCCCTATATTGAATAATTCTAAAACATTTAGTTTTGATTTAAATCAAAACCCTAAATCAGCTTATTTTGAACTTTATACCTTGCGTAAATCTACGTTTTCAAAAATTGCATTTTGGTCAAATAACTTAAAATTAACGTATTTTGATAAAATCAAAGATCTACATTCTATAAAATCAACGTGTTCAACACCTTGTAGTTCAGGTAAAATGAAACTGGTAAGTCCGCTAAATAAATGTTGTTGGACGTGTATTTCATGCCCAGATAACTCAATAACAACATCGTCAAATGATGAGAACTGTACAATTTGCAATGAATTACTTGATTTTTACCCCAATGAAAACAAAAGTATGTGCATAAAAAGAGAGCGCTTATACTGGAATTTTAAGAGCTCACAAATACCCCATCAAGCCATAGTTTTAATAATATGTAGTATTAGTGCATTATTATGTTTAAGTTTTATTTTGACTTTTATTTTAAAGGAGTCGACACCCGCTGTTCGTTCGTCTGACTACATATTATCATTGATTCAACTGTCATTGCATTTAATTGTTTTTGTTTTACCTCTTCTGACATTCCCCGAAGAGACGCCCATTAAGTGCGCCCTGAGAATATATGTAGGTAGTTTCTTCCAGGTCGTTATAATTACGATTATATTTGTTAAAGTTACCCGACTTGTTTTTGTTTTTGATGTTATTGTTTCTTGCAGAATGACATTTAAAAACAAACTTTACCTTGTTATTAAAACTGTCCTGCTGTTACTACTACTATCTTCATTTTATATTGTGTTTATTTATGCTATTCACAACAGTAAATATAAAATATTTCTCGAAGACGAAAAAGGAACAACCTCGTTTACTGTGCAAAAGTACTGCAATGCGCATAATTTTTTAATATTCCATTTATGTTACGTGCTTGTTTACTCCATCATATGTGGCTACCAAACATTTAAAATAAAACATCTACCATCTGAGTATAACACTACAAGTAATATAGCATATTCTTTGTTTTTTTCTAACATAACGCTGTGCGTATTGGTTGGACTTAATTACAGTAGTTTTGATTTAAATACGAAAAGGTTTACAATTTGCATACTTATGAATATTTCTATGTCTTATTTGATGATTTTCTTTTTTTTCAACAAAATAACAATGATATGGTTTAAATCCGAAAGAAATAATAGATCAGATTTTGCTCGTTCGATCGCATTAAGACAAATGAGACATACTTCCCCTTGACCAACAAATTATGATGGATCTTTTTATTCAGCAGTTGATTTAAACGAATTTCTTTGTATGTATATATATATATATATATATATATATATATATATATATATATATATATATATATATATATATATATATATATATATATATTTATAAACTTTTTTGTTAACGCATTGTACATATTTGAGAAATTTTACAAAGAACTATGAAACTTTATGAACTATGAAAAAATAAACTACTTATTATGGAGTATTGCCGATTGCCGTCTGGCTTTTCCGAAGGCTCATGGGTCGTTTTTAAAATTGACAAATTACAATATAGGTTAGGGACTGGTTTGTGGTAATAGTGTTGCTTTTTTTTTTTGTTCTTTTTTATCAAAAATATTATAACATTATAATTATATTTATTGTTTTTCATTGTATTATATAACTTTTTTTTTTATGGACTGTTTTTTATTTGTTGATTTCCTTTTTCCTTTTTTATGATTAAACGTAAATAAATGTTTTTAACTATTTTAGAAAAAAAATATTGTTTTTCAATTTTCTTGTTCGTTTAAGTATTATATTTAGCCAACAATTCTTAAAAAAAAAATGGTGCAAAATAGTATAGCTTTAAAATATAACAGAATTATACCGGTATTTTATAGACGTATGCGTTATTGCATAATTTCTACATCAAAAAAATTGATGTAGAAATTGAGGCATAAAATCTTGTGAATTAAAAAAAATGAATGCAATTATTTTCAAACAAAAGTTTTAGAGCAATTATTTATTTAACAATATATTTTTCACATAATCTATTTGATAAAATTTTAATGCATAACACAGTTAGCAAATCTAGAAAGAAATAAAAATCAAATTACCTCTTAAAAGTTCATTTCAGGAGTAATTCTAAATTCATGTAGAACTCCATATCTTTTGACGATTTTGACATTTGCCCAAAACGTGAAAGCAGCAAGTTGATAAAATATTTTTTGCATTATTCTTAACCAAAATGTTATTTATCGACAAATTATAAATTTTATTGTATAATCTCTCGGCCTCCAAAAATTATGACGACGTATAATTTAAATCCCCCTCAATTTAAAATTTTTGTATACTTTTGAATGTTAAATGATTGTTGTATGAAAGTTAAATTTTATTTATAAATATAACATTAGCTTAAATTAGTAGAAAAAATATTTGTTGAATATATATATATATATATATATATATATATATATATATATATATATATATATATATATATATATATATATATATATATATATATATATATATATATATATATATATGAGGCCGGCGCGAAGGGGGGTGTGGGGGACATTGTGTGTATTACTACTGATGGAGCTTTCGTAATTCAGAAAGTGAGACGTTTGAGTAATTGTGAACAACAGTTGTGCATTGTGCATGGCATTCAACTGGGTGTTCAAGAAATTTTGTACAAAATACCGTCAGCTTGTGCAAAAAGAAGCTTGAAAGTTATCTGCAATTGCAACAATATCAGTGAAAGTGATGAGGATATTAGCACTGACGATGACACAAACAAAAGCAATGACAATAAAGAAGACTTTTCCGGCGGGTTTCAAGTTGTAATGAGTGAAAAATATGATCCTATTGAACTGATTGTGATCTGCAGCCGTTATCACTAAGGTACCAAATTCCTCTACTGTGTAATACACAGTAGAGGAATTTGGTAAAGGTCTTCCATTGATACTTGACTCCAAAACTCGCTGGAGTAGGTTACACACTATGCTCGAACGTTTTGTGAAATTGAAAAACTGCAATCGCAAGTCGCTGATTGACCTTAAATCCAAAATTGGAATAACTGATAAGGAGTTCAATTCAATTTTAGATGTTGTTTAATGTCTTGCGCCAGTAAAATTGGCTGTGGAAGCATTGTGTCGAAATGATGCAACACTATTATTAGCCGATACAACACTAATGTTTATGATAAATAACATTGGAGACACCCCCTCCCCCCACCAATGAATTTCGTTTAGTCAGTCGGCAAATTTGGAGTTTTCAGTTCATTCAGATGGCAAATCACTAAAAAGGTAAATAAATAAGAATCTTTTAAAACTCCTATTTATATATTGTTTAAAGTTATTTAAACTTTTCCGACGTGACGGAGTATGTCCGGGCTTATTAGAACAAACCATATTTAGTTTTCGTATATTTATTTTAAACAATATATATATAGGTAATACTTTGAAACAACTTTTCTTATAAAGCTTTAAACATAGTGTGAGTTTTGCATACATAACAAAAGTTATCAAAACTGGTGCTTAGTCTACGATGCTGTCAAACTTATCAAAACATGGCGGTAAGTTATGCGATATCTGCCTGTAATCCTCTTTCTGATGATGACGTTCTTGGTGCTTAACTGCTTAAAATCGAAATGAAATGCAGGGTAAATAAACAAAAACACTGAAGCTGTTGTGTTATAATTTTAAAAAAGTTGTGATTCCAAAAGCTTATCTCTTAACATTAAGTATAGACATTTTAGTGTATTATTTTATTGTTGTCTCTACTGATCACTTAGCACGCATTAAAATTATTGACGGCATTGATTGTTAGAAATTGGTTACTGATATACCACTACGTAAAGAACGATGGCTTTTAATGAGTAGATTTATTGAAAATGGAGAAGATAATTTTTCATCTGAAAATGACATTTCTTTTGTTAAAGGACAATATCAATTAAGTCTGAAAAGCCTTTAGATGTTTTTGCAGCAATTATCATTGTTAGTAGATATATACACTTTAAGTAATTGCAGATGCTGCCATGTTATCACATTTTTTTTTTTAATTTAAACGATTATGTTACTGAACACAAATCTGAACAGTTGGTGAAAATGTATTTACATCAAAAAATTGTAAAGGGAATAAAAGTAAAGAAACGAGAGAAATATCTAACTGCTATATACCAAACTGTTTATTTTGCGAATAAATTTTGTCAACCACTTAAAATATGTTTTTGGGATCCTCAACTGCTTTAGTATCAGCGATTCAACTGTTTCAAAATTTATTATTTTGTTTTGTTAGCTTGTTATGAATTTCCAAGTAATCTCTTTACAAAACAGTCAAAATCAATTTGTTTGTAAAACGCCTTTAAAAACTAAATATGCTGATTTTTATTTAACTAATAAGAATATTGTTTATTAATAATATTATATATAACTTGTTTTATTGTAAAGAAGAAATCTTGGATAGATATTTGTTATTAATTAATAAAATATTTCTTGGAAAATAATTTGTGATGAAATTTCTGAAAGTGTTGATCAAGTGGTATCTATTACATGGCGTCGTTTTTTTATAGATACTTGTTCAAATTTCTTTTATAGGTACTTCTATAGATACTTGTAGATACTTTTATAGTTACGTTCTTTTATAGATACTTGTTGTTGGTATAAGATACTTGTTCAAAGAATTTTTTATTCACTTGTCTTGAAAAAACCTTTTTTTTAATCAATAAATAACTTATAAAAAATAATTTGTAGCGTGTTGTAGTTTATTTATTGCTTACTAGATATTCAAATGTTGACATTTTTTTGCTTTTTTAAATAGTGACATTTTTTACTTTTTGAAAATGTAAAAACAACATAATCGGCATAAAACTTACCCTAGATTAGTTTTTGGGTTTAACTTTTTTTTGACTTCAAAGATATTGAATATTTTTGAAGTTAAATTAATAAATTGCAAAAATATATATTTTAATACTATTGTATATTACAATCATGGGTAATTTACAACAATATTTGGTTACAAGATATTCAAATAAATGCGACTTTTTGTTTTACTTTTGAAAATGTATACTAGGCTACGCAATAACAAATAATAAACATTTCATGTACTCATGCATTCGCGTGAAACCCATTATATTTTACATTAATTTTTTAGGTATAGATTTTGGGGTTTTTCTTTTTATAGACGTTTTCCTTTGAAGTAAAGAAAAGTAATAAATTAAAGACTTTAAAAAAAAAAAACTAAATTAAGCACTGTTATACATTACACTCTTGGGCAAAATACAAAAATGTTTGGTCGCTCCAGTCTGCACTTATCTTTCATATTTTTTCACAATATGTTATTTGTTTGTCTGCAATGTTACCTTAAATGGTTTAAGTGTATTATTGTGAAATGAGTTTGCCACTTAATGAAATTCTTTCCACCTGAAAAAAAACGGGCTCAATCCTACGCTGGTAACTTAATAGTAACCATCGTGTAAAGTTTAGGCTACACACTTGAAACTTCTTTTAAAAATAAGTTAACAATAGAAAGATAAAAACAATACACAATTATATGTTTGAGGATTATAAAAATTAAAGTGATCTGGATTTTCCAGACTCCAAGAATTAGATTTTAGGTTTCTTTTATTTCGATGGTGAGAAAAAGGATAAAGAACTGTGTATAGGTATTTTTTCAGAAAGGATAAAGAGCTGTATTTAAAATTATTTTGAAAAACAGATATTTCTGGTTAATTAATCATAAACTAATCTCTAGAGACCAGTTCACCTGTTTTGGTTAGAAAAGACGAGGGTGTGGAAAAATACAAGATTATTTCATTAGACTTTCAAATGCTTAAAATTAGTAGTTATATGGATTCTGTATAGAATGAATATTGATTCAAGTAAAGTACCATTTATTATTATTTAAAGTTGATTAGTTGTTGGAAATCAAAATTTTTATGCATCTTAATTCTTAAGGTTTTGAGGTATCTTCTAATGATTAAGGCTAAATTAATTAATTCTAATCAAGTTGAGTATCGAAAAACTCATTATTTTTTGTAAATTTTATTAAGGGAAATTCAACTTTTAACTAGTACAAAATAACACTTAAGTACTAGTTGAGTAGTATTTATAATTCACCATTTTTTATTCATTTTTCAGTGTAAATATTGAATAAATAATATTAGGTTTTCAACAACCATAGTTGAAGTTATTAGAATAATGTTTTAATAGTATTTTTATGTGTTTTCATATTTAAGTTATGAATAATTAAATAAAAAAATTTGATTTCGATAAATAAATACAATGATTTCGAGTAATATAATAATAACTTTTTTTTTAATTGCTACCATTCAATTATAGTCAAAAGTTTGTTAATACATTTATTTTAGAGATTTTAAATGACACTAATGTCATTTAGCACTAACCTCTACATTTTTAAAGTCTTAAAAATGTAGAGGTTAGTGCTAAATGACATTAGTGCCACCCCTTAAACTTATTGCCGACACTCTATTAACTTACCCTATATCTATTTAGAAATTGAACTGGTCGTTAAATTATAAATACATTACTTTAAAAAACTAAATATTCTTTAACAGGCGATGCAAAGAATAACCTAGCTGAACTTGAAAAATGTGCTGAGTCTATTGATGAGCATCAAATAAAAGGTAAGAGACATAAATTTTTATTTATATTTGTCAAAACTTTTTATCAACCACGATATTTAGCTATTTGTTTGTTTGTTTTTAAACAAGAGATGGAAATAGAACTTGAAAATTGTACTGGATTAAGTTTTGAATGTTCAGAAAAAGGTATAATATTTATTTTTCTTTGTCCTTGATTTGTTTTGTTTTGCTCATCTATAGAAATAAATCAGATTTAATTTTTTTATAAATTACGACAAACTTTAATCTTTTTGCTGATTTATTAAATCAGGATTGTTTATTTTTTTAATGATTATACTTTGTTTTAGCGGATAGTGAATGTGTTGATAAAACTGATGTTTTTGATTGGGTGGTTTGTGCTGGCATGATTGAAAAACTTGTTTCTAGCTTTAAGGAATGTAGTCAACTTTTAACAAAACTTAAAACAGATTCTGAACCAAACCCAATATCATTTTTAGTAGAAACTTCACATATTATAAATTTAATTAAAAATGAATCTACACAATATTTGTTGACAACAGAAGAAGTTTTGAATAACTTATTAGCTAATGATGCAATTGAATCTGAAAATATTTCCAATAGTATACCTGAACATGATCCTGGAAAGAGAGAAATTGTAAAATCCTCAGCTCAAAGAAAGTATCTTTTAAGCCTTGGACCTAACCAACCTAAATTGGTTAAATATCCAAAAAACGTTGATATTTCATCTGACAAACAATGCCAGTTTACTTCAATATGGTTCAATGAATTTCCACATTTAGAATACAGCATTCAAAAAGACGCAGCATTTTGTTTTATTTGTTCTCTATTTCCCAATGGACCAGATAGAGTTTTTTCCGATATGGCATGGGTTCGAAGTTGGCATCAAATGAAAAGTAGAGGTAAAAAAAAACAGGGTAAACTTAAACAACATTATTCTTCAAAATCACATAACTCAGCACTTATTGATTTTCGAAATTTTTTGACTTCATCCAACCATATTGACTGTATTCTCAACAAGGTAAACAGAGAAGAAGCAATTGAAATAGAACATAAAAAATTGTATCATAAAGAAGTGATTACTATATTATTAGATATTACTCGTACTCTAGCACGTCAAGGTCTTGCATTGCGCGGAGATGCTGATGAAGAAAATAGTAATTTTAATCAAATAGTTTTACTAATATCTTGACATAATCCAACCCTGAAAACCTGGATTAATGATAAAAAGCTTAGAAAAAATAAAGTTATTTATCTTTCCCATGATTCTCAAAATGAATTTATTGACTTATTAGCAGATGAAACCAAGGAAACAAATATAAAGCAAGTAAAAAAATCTGAATTTTTTTCTGTGTTGGCAGATACAACGCCCGATGTTTCGCATCAAGATCAATTGTCAGTCTTTTCAGCAATTCCAAGTCCAGTTTTATCCAAAGCTTCACATACTGCTATTAGTCTTTCAGTAAAAAATTATTTAAGGTCAACATCGTCTTCTAGACGCTTACAAAAATTTGATGCTGTTGAATTATAACAAAGATATTTTAGATAAAATTGATCTAAAATTACTAACTGATAAATAGTCAATTTTAAAAGAAAGAAGAATTATTGTATGAAACATTTTTTAGCAATCAAATAAAATTATTTGTCGGCAAATCAATGACTTTTTTTTTTAAGTCGGCAAATATCCCTATGACATCCCCCCCCCCCCACTTGGCACCTACTCGCGCCGGCCCTGTATATATATATATATATATATATATATATATATATATATATATATATATATATATATATATATATATATATATATATATATATATATATATATATATATATATTTATATTTGTATATATACAGTGCTTCCATATATAGCAAGCAGACCAAGGCATCAGGTTCAACCGTGTTTCATTCATGTATTGCTTAATTGAGCGTGCAGTGTGGCAAGGAGCGTTATCTTGTTGAAATTTCCAGGTGGAGTCAGCTTTAAAAACGTCCATTGATGGCTTTAAATAATCTTCTAATATCTCTCTATATCGGTGTTGATTAAGGTGATCAGTGTAAAGATGCCCCAGGCCATTGCTAGATCCAGCAATACAGCCCCAAATACCAATCGAACCTCCTCCTCCTTGAACTCTTGACATGATAAAACGAGCATTATATTTTTCGTTTGTGTATCTTCTCACGACCACTCTTTTTTTGCAACTAATAAGTTCAAAATTTGATTCGTCTGAGAAAATTACTTTTCTCCGTTGCTCTACAGTCCATGCAGCTCTCTCTTTGCACCATTTTCTTCGCTTGAGACGGTCTTTGATGCTTAGTAGTGGCTTCTTTGTTGCAAGGTATGAATTGAGTTGTTTTTTTTTCATCAGCTTGCTAATTGTTGATAGGCTTACTTGATGTGCACTCATAGCTGTATTCAAGTTCGAGGCGATTTCAGCTATACTCATGTTCGGGTAGCGTCTAGCAAACATAATTGCTTTATTTTCGTCTCTTTCTGACATTTCTTTGGGACGACCAGAGCGATTTTTGTCTTCGACTGATCCAAACTCATTATAGTTTTTTAGCGTTGTTCTAACGCTGCATTCACTGATTTCAAGTTGACGTCCAATTTCTCGATTGCTGAGACCACTTTGGTGCAGGCCACAACTTGCCACAATGTTTCAATTGATACGCTCTTTAAACCCATATTTTTGTTGTTCAAATTTTAAAGTTTTAACTAACTGTATTTCAAGTGATATATCTGTCAATTCAACTTATGCTTCTTATATTTTTTATTGACTATTATTAATCAGCAGAGAGTAGTTAACAAAAATTAACCAAAAAAGTTTTTCTCAAAGGAATTAAACAATTGTACTAATACATTTTAAATCAGTGCGCTAATACATTTGCACGCGCAGTTTCACACATTTTTCAGAGTAGTCATTAAACTTCTGATTAATACATCAAAAAAACAGGTAGTTGGACAAATATTTGACATTCTAATTAAGTTTAATTGGTTTTACCTTTCATTAAAAAAAAACTAGTTTGTAATTAAAATTACTTTATAATTTAAATTGATTTGAAGTTGTCTGTAATAAAAAAATTACGAGTGCGCTAATGCTTTCTGGAAGCACTGTATATATATATATATATATATATATATATATATATATATATATATATATATATATATATATATATATATATATACATATATATATATATATATATATACTAGCTGTAAGCAAACCGTAATACGGGTTAGTAGTATATAAATCATTATTAACAATTTGATATTTATTTACTTTCTCTAATAAAATATTAATTTATTTATACAGTAAGCAACCCGTAATACGGGTTAGTAGTAAATAAATTATTACTGTCAATTTGATCTTTATTTACTTTCTCTAATGAAATATAAATTTATTAATACATTTTTTTAGTTGAGCTCACTTTTATTTTTCTTGGCTTCTTAGTTTAAGAGAACTCTTAGCTTCATTAAAGATAAAGTTAACCATAAAATGACTTAACTTATATGCACAGAAAATCAAATTTTGTCAAATTTTCAAATTCCGTAAAATTGTTTAGGTAAATATTGGGAATATATTCTACTCTTAATTTTGCTTTAAGCTGAGTCGTTTCTTTATTTTTTAAACTTTTCATTTTACTGAGTGAAGAGCTTCAAAATATGTCACTATCGCACCTGAACCTTTTAAATGTTATTAATATATTTTTTAAAACCTCTAAAATATTACACCCAAACTTGTAGGCATAGAAGTTGGATATCCGGAAAAACTATAAGTTGAAAAATATATCGCAATTCCGAAAAGGGCTTACCCTGCATACGGATCCTATATATTATGATAAAGATTATTATTTAAACCAACCTTTTTTTTAATTAGTAATCCAGCAGTAACTTGTTTATAAAAAAACAAAGGAATATATGGATTTACTATAATAGCTAACGTGTATCAACATATTTATTTCAGCATACATCCAATCCATATTTATACTAAGTTTATAAAATACATTTTACCTTAACTTGGCGTTAGATTATTAGTTTTATTTCATTAATTTTTGTATAGATCAGGTTAATAATAAAAGCAATTGGATTTTACTCAATATTTTTGAAGTAATTATTCAGCATTAATAAAATTGATAAAATCATGAAAGACAGTTAAAAAATATATTTAAACCTTTTTTCACTTTGTGAAAATCCGTAAAAAAGCAAGTATCAAGTTTACTTATCTTTAAAAGAAATTTATTTACATGATATATAGTTAAATATGTAACAAAAATATTTTAAAACAGAAGCATATATAAAACACATTTTTCTTAAAAAAAACAAAGTTGAAGCCACCATTTACAGCACCGAGGAGCCAAGCATAGCCTATTGTAAAGAAAACCATATCAAATAATTTAAAATATTTATTACCGATAGGGACGACAATTAAACATATTTAAAAAGCTACGTGATTCCATATTAGTAGAATTGTTATAGAAAAGTATATTAAAAAAGTATATTTAAAAAAAAGTGTACTAAATAGAAAACAGATTTTTAAAAACTACCTAATTTTGTAAGCATTTTGCCAATGATGTTCAATTTTAAAACCAATATCTTTAATGAAAAGCCGACTTGTTTCACTAAAATCATTCAAAGAATAAAATTATTAACACTTAAAGATAAAGAAAACAAAAAAATGAATGAGATATAAACAATCGTACTATAGTATTATGAATATTTCATATTATATATGAAAAAAAAACAACAACTGGAAAACAGTATACCTGCTTTTGGTAACCTATTGTGATACTGCAGCAGTTGCTGTAGGGATGCAGCTGTTCTTTTTAGTGTTGTTCAAAAATGTAATTTTTATGTTGGCTTTTAGTAAACTTTAGTTTAACTTAAAAGACATGACAACGGATTTAAAAAATTCATAATAAAAAGAGCAAAACATAAAATGCTTTAAGGAGCCAAACTATAAACATAAAAGATAAAGAATAGAATCGAGATAAATAAATTGTATTTATATAGCTAAATATATTGCCTTGGGTTTTGGTAAATTTTAAAAGCAGTACCCAATAATTGTTTTTAACAAAAGAATGCAGCATCATTACATTATGATAATTGGATAATGAATCAATTCAACTTTCGACTTTAGAATTTAGGGAGGGGTATTTAAGAGGGCTTCAAATTTGAAGTGAATTTGAAGGTTTAATTGGTGAGAAGACAATTAAAAATTTTATTAAAAAAGATTAAAACAAATCAAATATACAACGTAATATATTTAAAAGAAAAAATTACAAATTTTTAATAAAAAAAAAACACCGAAACAAAAAATTACAAAATTAAAAAAAAAAAAAAAAAACCGAAGAAAAAGCAGCAACTAAAAAGTCATAAATATCTCTACTGATAGAAGACATTTACAACCTTTTGGTTGCTGTTTTTTCTTCGGTGTCTCTCAACACCCCGGTATGGATGAGCCCTCCATTTAAAGGAGGGCTCATCCATACCGCCATTACGTTTCCATTTATTGAAGGAACTCTTTGAGAGAGGTCCCGGGTGTTGGGAGCGATAACTTTGGTATTGTTCGAATGATAAGGAATCTAAAGTTACAAATAGAAGAGTATAATAAAAATTATACATTTGCAATTATTAAAAAAAAAAAATTAGCATAACCTCACCATTTTCATTCGAAACAGAAGATGCTAAAAAAAAACAAAAAAAACACCAAATTAATAAGGGTTAAACATGCAATATTTTGTATTTTAATAAATATATAGGGCAATAATGCAACCAGTTCAAAAGTGTCATATTTATTAATTAATTTTTTCACCTATTACATATATTTCTCCATACAAAATATATAAAATATAAAACACAGTCCTACCAGCTATACTTCTACCTGACACTAAAGACATATATATACTTAAATAAATATATAATAATCGATAAAATAATGTTAACATATAAATATATACATACCTAAATAATTGTTTTACCCATCCCCCTCATTTCATCCATAAAGTTGTCTAAAGTAAGAAAAAAATAACTAAAGCTAAAAACAAAACTATAAACTAAACCAAAACTATAAACTAAAGTAAACTTTAAATCTTCTAAATATTAATGCTTTATTTATTAAACTAAACTAATCATAATTTATACTTAGTTTTTGTTCCAACTCCCCTAAAAGAAAGTATAAAAAAAAAGCTAAAGAACTTGATTTTTTAATATTCCAGTGGCAGTACAAATAAACAAATTCCTAATAACAAATATCTAATAGCAAAAACACTGACTTATTTCCTTCTTCACTTCTGTATCTAAACAATAAAAGCACTTTAATGTTTAGACGTTAAAATATCGATAAAATGCATATTAAATGCTACATTCAACTAATGTAATTAATACCTTTATTAGATCTCTCTTGATTAACTAAAGAATTTAAATTTTAAATAAACTATAACTAAATTTTAACAAACAACCAAAATAAATCTTTACTTTAATAGTACGTTATTAAGTTGATTAATAGATCAAACAATTTAATCTACTCTAATAATCTACTACCTTATTAATAAACTTTAATTTTTTTTCTACGACTCAGTGTAACTATAATATGGATATTTTTAAAGTAAAAAAAAATTTAATATTATAATATATATGATTTTAAAAACCTGTAATTTTAAATCTACCTCGAAGAAAACAGAAACATTTTAAAAAGTATTTTTATTTCTTTTTAAAAATTTAAAAATGCTTTATAACTTACTTGTTCCAATATTATCAATAACGTCTAAATAAAAAAACAAACAAACATTTAAGTCGACTCATTCTTAAATCTTATAATATATATGATTTTAAAAACCTGAAACTTTAAATCTACCTCAAAGAAAACAGATATATATTGAAAAGTATTTTTATTTCTTTTTAAAAATTTAAAAATGCTTTTTAACTTACTTGCTTCAATATTGTCATCATCTAAATAGAAAAACAAACAAACATTTAAGTCGACTCATTCTTAAATCTAGTTTAATTTCTTCAATAATAAAAAAAATTTAATCTTTGAGGATTAAATTCATTTACAAAAGTTCGTTTAAGTTCGTTTAAACCATTTGTAAAGTTAATTTAAATTAACAAACATATAAATGCAATTTATAACATTTGTTAATAACAAAATGAAAGAAAACTTACTTCTTAGTAATTCAGCAACTAAAAATAAACATATATTTAAGAACTAACAACATAACATTATACATCTGTAACATAATACACTATCTAAATAAATACAAACCTTCATCTTCAATCTGATTCATTCTATTAATTCGATATAAAAAATAAAAACAAATATGCTTAAAAACAAATTTAATAAAGGTAATAGACATGTTAAAACATAAAAAATGAAAACGATTGAATTGATTATACTGAATATGATCTACTTGATAGGTACGATTAGATGTAAAAAAAAATTAAAACGAAAACGCGCTTTTTAAAATAAGTCTGGAAATTCTAATCTTAAAATTCCAGAACAGAAGAAAAACTGCGCACAAACCAAACTGCGCAACACTAAGCGCAAAGAGCATTTAATTTAGCTATGCAAATTACATCACGCATGTTTAATTAAGTCCGTTATGATTATCAACTTTAAAAAATGGCTAAAATTTAAACTCATTACGCAACTAATCAGTTTATTTACTAATAAGTGCAATAAACATACATATAGATAATTTTAGGAGCTAACTTGTCTTAATTCCATTTTTGTGTAAATGAGTTTAATACAAACTTGTCGCATATTCTGTCGGGGCCAAATAGCCTTCTAATTTTTATTTACTGCGGTTTAACAGGAAGCAAAAATCAATCTAGTCTTAAATCCATTTTATTAGCTAAAAAATGATAAAAGAGTATTACTATACTATCACATTTATACTTGTATATATCACATTTTGCTACTAAACATGTTTTAAATTGACTTTTGAGGTTGTTAACGTGACATAATCTCATGTTTGCAAACAAAGCTAACGGACCCGGTCATGTTAAGCCTTCTAAACTCTGATTATTTCTATATTGAATAGATGGCCTCTTTATTTCAATAATTTTTTGCAAACGGTAAAGTAATTTGCTGCCATTTACTAAATATTCCTTTTATTACTCGAAGTTTCGGTTTCGTCAATATTTTGACATCTCCGCTAATTAAGAGCCCCTCCCCTTTTTTTGTTTTAATGGTAACCATGTGAGTAGAGTTTTTTTTATTAAGAGTAATCTATTTATGATGAAGACCTTTTACCAAAATAATAAAGCGTAAAACAACGATTTACATTTATAAGAATTTTTTCTTTCCTCAAAAGTGTTGCAATTGCAGACTAAACTAATCAACTTAATATTTGACAAACTGCAAGTCTCCCTGTGTTTTTAACTACGAATAATTAAAGCATAAGATAGGGAAAACATCGGAAAAATATATATATATAAATGTCTTTATATCTTTTTAACAAACGAACAAAATTTTACAAATTTAGGAAATCAAGTTTTTTTTTTTAATATTGTATTAATACGTCATATGGTAAAATCTAAAATAAAAAAAAGGAACGGAATTATAACATCATATATATATATATATATATATATATATATATATATATATATATATATATATATATATATATATATAAATATATATATATATATATATACATATATATATATATATATATATATATATATATATATATATATATATATATATATATATATATATATATATATATATATATATATATATATAATATATATATATATATATATATATATATATATATATATATATATACACACCACATATAAACACTGAAAACCGATTTACCTGTTTTTGTAACCTTTTGATATTGCAATTAATATAAACATTTATAGAAAAAAGTAGCTATAAAATCTTTTTCGAAGTACTAAAGGATTAACAATACTAAAGGAAAAAAAAATCAAATAAAGACATAAATTGAATTTTTAGCAAGATTTTGTCTTGGCTTTTAGTAAATGAATAAAAGCAGCAAGTTCCAATAATGAAACTATCTATTATTCATTTTTAACGACAGACACCAACGGGAAGGTAAGCCAAGCTGTCTATCAACACAAAACATCACAACAATATAACAATATTATACATTATAACAATACATTACAACATTATAACAATAACACATAACATTAACACATATTCACACCTATATAACTAATATTTACACCCTTGACTCTAAAATCCAGTGGAAAATAACAAACCAATTTTAAAAGGCAAAACTAAAAAACCAATGAAAGGCAAAACTAAAAAACCAATTTTGAGTTATCTACATTTATCCTTTTACTAAACTTTAATATAGTATATTTGCTTTTATATTCAATATTAGTTATTCAATTATTTTTAAATTTAAGGATCAAGGTTGCATACTCTTTTATACACATTACACAAAACATTACCAGACATTATGTGTTTCCAGAATAATTAAAAAAAGCTAGACAATACAACATGCTAGACAACATGGGATACTCAAATATTCGCCACAGCGCCTCAGGTGCACTAACATAACGACAATCTAAGAAAGTGTCTATTTCATCGTGATTAACCTGTTCATTTATCAAAACATTCGCACAATCATGCCCTTTGTATATGTATTTATACAAATATTTAACAGCCTTTACAGACATGCAAGCTTCAACATTAATGTGGGCTTGATATTTCTTTGATAACCAAGGATTATAAGGTACCACCCAACGGTTATCTACATTGTTGCCTTTAATATTGATAACCAACCCATTATCACGACGCCTATAGCGCGGATAACCATTGTGAACAGCTACTGTGTTGGCATTAAAACCTTTAGGATATTTTTTGCTGCACACCCCATCTTTTATGCAGGGAGAATTTGGATTCAGTATCCCACATGGGCCGTGAATCATGCAAGTTTTGATAATATCATAAAGTTCACAATTAACTATCGGATCTGGAATTTCTGCACAAATCAAATTATCAATATCCTGTGATGTTTCAAGTTTATCATCATTTGCTAAATGAAGTAAAATGTGGGCATGCGGCAAACCACGCTTTTGAAACTCAATAACCTGAGCATGCGTTACAACTTTGCCTAATACACCATGTTTGAATATATCATTGAGGAGGTTATTTAACTTGAGTTTAAATACTCGAGTAACCAAATCAGGTCTATCATTCGCATTCTGACCCGGATATAAATTTTCTGTTATTTCACGCCATTTTGGGTTGCAAGTAAAAGTTATAAAAAGATCTGGTTTACCATTTTTTAATAATTGCCATAGCATCTTCAAAGTTTTCTTTTAAAGCTCTAGGACTTCCTACATAAGATGATGGCAAAACTACTACTCGTCCTGGTCTAATATTACGATCATTGGCAATGTTGTTAATATGTTCATGTAAGGCATCGTAATGCTCGCTTCTCAGCTTATTTTGATTATTTCTGATAAAAGCAAGACGCTGGCCTTCAATTTTTACATATGCATCTACAGCATATTGCTGAAATAGTTTCTTGCCATAAAATAATGAACAGAAAAATTGCCTAACAGAAAGTCTATAATTGTAGAACTGAGATAATGTAACATGATTTCTAACCAGTGTGGCACGCTCAGGGTTATGCACCAATTGATTATGCCAACCAGCATCACCTCTTGGAAAAAATAGCGGATAAACCATAGGATCCAAGTTGGCTGACATACTTGATACAATTTTTAAAGGATGACCTCTTTGGTAAATAACAACTTCCCTGGAAATTGGGGGAGCACCATCTTCGCCAACAAATACAACTGCAACTTCATCATGTGAAGGTAGATTATAACGACGTCTATCACCGCCTTCAAGTAAAGACATTTTTACAACAGAAGCTGAGCGACCTTCTATAGCCGCCTTACGAATTTCTTCATCTTCTACTTCAACCATGTTTTTTAATGCAAGAGCAAATGGACTTTGTTCCATAATTATAGTTTGCAATTGAAACATTAAATCACTTAAACAAAGATCATTAGCATAGTGTTGCATTCTAAAATTTAGTGCAGCAAGTGGATCATAAATATATAGTTGAGAATATATTGGTGGAATATCTTGATCTGGCCTAAGATTACCTACACGATAAAAAATCTGGCCACATATTTTAAAACATGGAAGCCCATGATTCATTGGTTGAACTACATTTGCTGTAAAAGAAGCAAAAGAAAGGCAGGCATTATAATTTCGAATATGTTTTAAAAAATTAGCATTAGCATTACAATCTACATAACTCCCTGTAAACAAATCCTGTAAAGCTTGTGTAATTGGTGAAAGTGGAGGCAAAGCTACCTTACCATTATGGCAACATAGAAAATGTGTTTCATCTGGAAATTTCTTAGCACCACAGTGCTGACAAATTTGATTCATTTCTCCTAAATAATTATAATCTGGAATAGCATTACTTCTCGCTATAGAATACATTCGTCCTTGTCCAACAGCTCTTCTTTCATTTTGGCGACGATTAACATTATCTCGATCGAGCCTATTTCTTTCATTTTGGCGACGATTAACATTATCTCGATCGAGCCTATTTCTTTCATTTTGTAAACAATTAATTTCATCTCGCCTAAGTCTATTTCTTTCATTTTGTAAACAATTAATTTTATCTCGCCTAAGTCTATTTCTTTCATTTCGTCTACGATTACTTTCAACACGCCTTATAGCACTTACATCATCTTGTAAATACAAAACTACACCTAGCCTATCATCCATTTCAATGTCATCATTTTCATTAAACATATTTATCAAAGCAACACAAATTATTTCTTTTTTTTTTACTAATCTAAAGTTAACAATAAAATAAAAAAACTTAATAACTAAAAAAATCATACTCAAAAAATTAAAAAAAAAATTTCAAAACAAATATATATATATATATATATATATATATATATATATATATATATATATATATATATATATATATATATATATATATATATATATATATATATATATATATATATATATATAAACAAATGCAAAATAAAATTAATTTGCCCTCATCAAAAGTAATGCAGGTTTCTTAAGTTTATTTGATAGAAGTTAAGAAAAACCTGCAACCACATCAGCAAAAACTTATTAAAACTTATTTTATTTCTAATTAAAAAAAAAAAAAATTGCGGCAGCGTCATAGTTCATGCGTTGGGAGAAAACATTGAACAAAACACGTAATAAAACTTATTAATGCATTATTAATGCATTATGTACGATAGAAAACAGGTTATTAACGCGGGTTTATAAATTTTTTTCTCCTAACACACTATTATGCTGTCGCAACTCCAAGGATATATATAGTTATATATAGTTATATATAGTTATATATATATATATATAGTTATATATATATATATATATATATATATATATATATATATATATATATATATATATATATATATATATAAATATATATATATATATATATATATATATATATAAATATATATATATATATATATATATATATATATATATATATATATATATATATATATATATATATACAGTACTATTTATTAGTGAAAACATATGAAAACCAAAATTTTTTTTACAATATATATAGTATATATTTGATAAATAAACCTCTACAATTTCTTTGGTTCAACAACTCGATAATGATTAATAACAACTCTGTAAACATGAATTTTCTAATAATTTAAATCTTAATAAATTATAACAATTAACTACTTATTTAAACAAATAATTACTTATTAAATTTTAAAAGATTTTATATATACGTAATGTCTACTTAGAAATACTTAATGTCTATTTATACATTAAAAAGATCTACAATTTTGAAAACCTGAAACTTTAAATCTACCTCAAAAAAAACAGATATATATTGAAAAGTATTTTTATTTCTTTTTAAAAATTTAAAAATGCTTTTTAACTTACTCCCTCCAATATTATTATATAATTTATAGTATATATTGATAAATAAACCTCTACAATTTTCTTGGTTTAACAACTTTTTTAAACTTGGTTTAAAAAAATTTCTAATAAATACATATTTAGATACCTTAAAATGAAGCATAACACAACACTCTTTTGACAAATTCCAGAAGAAACTTTCTTAATTTTTTTATTCCTTATTATTTTTCCTTAGATAATATATATATGTAGATATAGAGAAATATAAAATAGACTGAAATAAATCGAAAACCTTAATTTATGTATGAGAAAATAACTTGAACTTACTAAAAAAGCGATCGGCTTCTCTTAACTGCTCTAAAAAATAAAACAAATACTGCTTAAAATGTTTTAAAAAGACTAACGACAAAACTGTTTTCTTAAAAAAGAAACATTGTACTAAAAAAACTAATTTACCAGTCAATTTAGTTCTAACTTATTCTAAAAAATGAAAAATAAATACATATTTAGATACCTTAAAATGAAGAATAACACAACACCCTTTTGACAAATTCCAGAAGAAATTTTTTTTATTTTTCTATTCTCAATAATTTTGCTAAGAGAAAATACATATAGATACACATATATATATATATATATATATATATATATATATATTAATATATATATATATATATATATATATATATATATATATATATATATATATATATATATATATATATATATATATATATATACATAGCAAACTAACAATTATTTAAATTTTTATTCTAAAAAATAAACAACATTAACTCTTCTTGAAAATAAATGTATCAGCTCCAATTTGATTGCTGATTTTACTCGAATGACCGCATGGAATATATAACTGCGCTTAGAAAATTCTAGAGGCAAAGAAATAGTGTATTTTACATAATGCAGAACCGTAATTAACAAAACGAACAATAGGCGTAACAATGCGTAACTATGCGCACTATTAATAATATTCATAGGTTATTCATTATAGGCGGATATATATATATATATATATATATATATATATATATATATATATATATATATATATATATATATATATATATATATATATATATATATACAGTGAACAAAATTTTCTTAGCCGCACACAATTTTTATCAGATTTTTCGTTATAGAGACTTAATTAAACGTTTTATTAAGAAATTTCTGTATGTGATATTTTTATACCATTGTTTGTTAATTGATAATTAAAAGATAATTGATATCATTGTTTTTATAATTTCTTTATATAAAAAAATTTAGTTATTTGATTTATTTGAGTGCGAAATTTGTATAGACGCAGTTCTGTTTTGTTAAATTTGAGATATAATTTTTAGTTTTGGTGTTGAAAAAATCAATTTAAATTGTAAGTAATTTCATAATTGACTTATAAAAATATTTTTCATAAATTTTAAAATTCAATGTTTCATGTTTTTAGTGAAATGGCACATGGAAAATTTTTAAATGACCATGAAAAAGGTTTAATTAAAGCATATAAGGATTCCGGGTTATCTAATAGAGAAATTGGACGAAAAATTGGACGATCTGAAAAGGTGATTAGAAACTTTTTGAAACTTGGGTCAGTATATGGCGTCAATCAAAAAATACGTAAAAACTACAAGATAACGAAAAGGAACGTGGAACAAATTCGACAATTAGCAACAAAACAAAAGTTAACTGCAAGTCAAATCATATCAGAATTAAGTTTAACAATCACTCCTAGACGTGTTCAACAAATATTGTCAAGATCTGATAATATAAAATGGCGAAAACCACTAAAAAAAACCATGTTTAAAGCAAATACACAAAGAAGCACGACTTGAATTCGCCAGAAAATATATGGATTTTGGAGAAAGGTGGAAATATGTCGTATTTTCTGACGAAAAGAAGTTTAATCTTGATGGACCAGATGGTTTTAGTTATTACTGGCATGATTTGCGAAAAAACAATGTACCTCGTTTGTCACGCAATTTTGGTGGTGGATCATTAATGACATGGGCAGCATTTTATATTAATGGAAAGACACCGATATGTTTTATATCGACAAAAATGAAATCCAATAATTATACAGATTTATTAGAAGATGTCTTAATCGATTTTTTGGAAAATAACTTGGAAGATCAAGTCATTTTCCAACAAGACAATGCACCCATTCATAAATCAAGAGAAACTATGGCATGGTTTGAATCCAAAAACATCGAAGTGATGAGATGGCCTGCATATACTCCAAATCTCAATCCAATTGAGAACCTTTGGGGAATCTTATCTCGGAAGGTTTATGAAAATGGACGACAATTTAGCAGCATTCAAGAGCTTCGAGGTGAAGTCAATAGGTGTTGGCAAGAAATTCAACCAATGACACTCCAATCGCTCATTAATTCAATGCCAAATAGAATTTTTGAAGTGATTAAGAACCACGGAGGACCCACCAAATTTTAAAATTTAAAAAAAATATTTTTTTCCTTTTCATTATTTAATTTTTAAAAGTGCGTCTAACGAAAATTTGCATATGAAAAGTGCATTCCTTATTATTTTTTTTTTTTTTCTATTTTTAATGTGATATATTTTTATTATAAATACTTTACTAATAAAATACTTAATAACTAAGCTATACAATAAAAATCATATTTTCTTTTTTACCTAATAAATTTTACTTAAAAATTAAAATTTCGAATAAAATTGTGTGCGGTTAAGTAAATTTCGATCACTGTATATACATGCAGTGCTATATATATATATATATATATATATATATATATATATATATATATATATATATATATAATATATATATATATATATATATATATATATATATATATATATATATATATATATATATATATATATAAATATATAAATATATATATATATATATATATATATATATATATATTATATATATATATATATATATATATATATATATATAT